TCAAGAGGGCTGGTGGTGAATAAGTTGTCGTAATTAACAAAACCAAACGTTGATACAAAAATAAAACTGCTCGCGCACTGGCTTTTAGCCGTACGTTTCCTAATAGTAATAATAATAATAATAATAATCTCTATCTGTAAAAGGCAGGATGTGTGTGTGTGTGTGTGTGTGTGTGTGTGTGTGTGTGTGTGTGTGTGTGTGTGTGTGTGTGTGTGTGTGTGTGTGTGTGTGGCGAATGCACGGCCGCAATTTTCGACGGATTTGCACCAAAATTTACATGCGCATGCTCCAAGTTAGCTGTAAAGCCAAGACCGAATTTGCATTTCCCAACTCCCATCGATATTTTCATGCTTCTACGGCAGTTTTCATGTAGTTTGCGGCCATTTTGTACTGGCCAGAGTGAGAACCAATAGCTGGCTGCCACGAATAGGCAGAAAGATTCTATTGCCCAGCGGGAGCGCCAACAGCTGACTGATACGAATGTTAACTAGCATGCTAAAAAAATCGATATCTGTATTCGTCACAAGTGGGAAAAATTTAAATCTGCATGGCACTTTACTCAAATTGGCTCATTCGCTTACTTAAACTCAACGTTGATTCTGATTCCGCAGAACTGGGTTGAGTGTGAAAAAATTCTTGTAGTTAACATTCTTTTTTCATTCGGTTTTTCCAGTTACGAGTCGTTTAGTGTTCATTTTGTTTAGTTCTTTTTTCGTAACAGATTTAATGTTTAGTATAGAGCTTAGAAAAAATTTGCAGTGCGAGATAGGCAAGAATAAGGCATGTAGCAACATTAGCACGGCAAAGTGCACTCCTTTAAAAGCAAGGAAGGGCAAATATATTTTAAGTCAAGGGATAGCGATTGCTGTATGGGTCGTACGATTTTTGAATCAAGCATGGGCAACGCCGGACCATGCTGCTAGTAATAATAATAACAATGGAAAATTGGACAACTGTAAATGGATAGTAGAGTGAACGATTAATTTAATTTCCAAAAGCAGAATAATTTCAATTTTTTCTCGAGAAATAAAAGACAGAATTAAAATTAGGCTGTTTAGCCTTACCGTGATTAACCAATGGAATGTGACCTACACTAAATTCAAACTCACCGAAAATAAAATCTATTATGTAGGTCGTGATACTAAGATGCCTGCATATAAATCCTAGACAATTTCATTATAGACAGATGCATATGGTTACATTATTTCGGAAGATGTACAACTTTTCTAAGAAGTAAAAGCGAAGGAGCTGGGGAGGTAATTTAACCTATTGCTAACTAGTTATATGCTCGTTCAGCATACTACATAAAATTTTGTAGTTCATCAATAAAAGGTCCCTTTAAAAAAAACATGTAAATAATTTAATCGTTTGAAAAAAAAAATCCCCAAAAACAGATCATAAATACAAACCTATTTTTGAAAATTAATAAGAAGCAATTAAGTAAAGAGCATCCATATAAAATATTAATAATACTAACTAATCAATGCAAGATGCTAATAATATTAATTAAATACCTGTACATCCATATAAGATGTTAATAATACTAACTAAATATCAATACAGAGCTGTATTAAATCAAAATGAATCTTACAAATAGAATAGTAAGCCTTATAAGGTGCAGTAGATTAGCATCGCCCCAGAGGACACATTTGGTGTTGACATATAATTGCAATTGTGTAGCGATTTTTAACATGTTTCTATTTTTTTCTTTCATATCCTAAAATAAATAATATTTAGTTCTATTTTCTATTGATCTCTCTTTTAAATTAAATGCTACGGACGGTGAAATTTTACCTGAATACACCACATATATATATATATATATATATATATATATATATATATATATATATATATATATATATATATGGACACTGAAGTCAACACGCAGCGGCGACAGTCTCTTATATATGCTTATACTCAATATTCAGGTCATCGATATAAATTATTGCGTATAAACATGAAACAGACTGTCGCCGCTGGGTGTTGACTTCGATGTCCACTTTTATGTTTACAGACGTTCTATCCCTAATATTGAGCACATTAAGCCATAAATATTGTATACCTTAAAACTATATTTCATCATATATATATATATATATATATAATCATTTCACTCCATGCAAGGCGATAAACCCACGAAGATACAAGGGGTTACTGAAAGTGAATAAAAAACTGCGTAAAAGTTTGTCGTAGAATTTTTAGGGGATACATTTCTATACAGCAGCGTATCGTCTCAAGAAATCCTTCTTCACGCTGTGTAACAACACAAAGAGACAATTCGCCGGTCACATGTACCTAGGTCGAGAAATCAGTGATTATTTGAGATGTGACCAAAAATTTTGAATGATATTCTCATCTATAAACAATATATCTCGTGTGCGTTTTCTTTCTTTTTGGACGTAGGATACACGCCGTTACTTGGTTTGACGATGTAGGTCGCCATTTTCTTAGCTACAAAGTTATTTATGGAAGAGAAGGCAATAAATAAGTAAAAAAAAAATGATTTGACTATTCAGCATCTAAGAATGTATCAACATTCCATGGTCAGAAAAATACAAATTTCAGAGAAAGAAAAGTCTTCCAAGACCAACACAAAATTGTACTAAAATAAAGCTTAATAAACAACCAGATGTTAACGACACAAAACAATACCTTTTTTTTTTCCCTAAAGAAATAAAGACATTAATTCCTTTAGGAATTTGAGATTGAACGTGAGAAAGACAAATATACTTGTACTGCTACTACAACTACTACTTCTTCGTCTTCGCTGCTTCATACTTCACCGAAATCTTTTTCTTATTCAAGTCAAATCTCCTGCCCATCATTCGGCAGACAGAAAATACGTGAAAACTGTCAATCGCGTCCACTGCCTTTGATGCCAAACTGATACACCCCTTTTGTCCCTGCAGAAGATGCCTGCTGTCTAATCGATTAAATATTGAATCCCGCCTTCTACCTGGAGAGACAAATATTTTTTTTTGCAAAATTAGTTGCACGTATACTTAATCCACGTGAACAGATTGCGTCTTCATTTCATAGGACGATAGTTAACATTGAAGTGTAAATTATGAGGTCAGGCCATACAGTTGAATGCATGGTAGATAGATTTAATATTCATCCAGGCTGATACGATATATTTCATCTCTGTCAAAATTACCACTTTTTCAACGTGGGATATTAAAAAACAATAAACATCTATAGAAAGCCGAATATGAACGGCAAAGTTATTAATCTGGATAAATCTGACGTCAAAGATTTAGCATTTTAAAATTTAAATTTATATTTAAATCTTCCTGTATCTTCTGTGATTCTTGTTTTAGAATTTTAACCGGTGCTTGTTATGTTTCAATCTTCTCTCTTATATAAAATTTAGACTTGAGTCCATCGATTAAGTCGTTAATAATCTGAAGTCCCTACTTGATGAGATGCGTTTGCGATGTATTTTTTATTCTATCATTTATTTATCCAATATTAGTCATATATATATATATATATATATATATATATATATATATATATATATATATATATAAATAAAAAACAGAGCACTTTAAGGTTCCATGTAATAAATTATTTCACCACAGCTCTTTTAAAAGGACTCCGGATCATCAGATTTTACTTGCAAACAAAAAATTTACACATTTTTGACGGGCCGTATTAAACATATCTAAATTAACGAAGTGAGGAAGTGAGGTGGAGAGAGATGACATGAGTGAGTTAGCAGATATTGACACATTTAAACGGTTAAGTTAACGGAAGTTATATATTGATATCGAAGGGGTAGAGAAGAAAAAACCATAGACAGAAAAAGAGGGAAGGAAGTTAAGAGAGAAGGTGTCATTATTTTTCTTTGTAAAAAAAGGCTAGAAACAGATGCTGTTATTTTGCTTTACTTTGAAAGTAATCTAATCGACTATTTCATAGAAAATCCCCAAAATTTAAAAAAAATTTAAATCACTAACAAACATCAAATTAAATTATTTGTAGACAGTCTAAAGACATTCAAATTTATATCAAACATTAAAAAGTAATCTTTATGAAACCCCAAAATAACACTCTACATTTGAATGATAACTCTAACATTTTTAGGCATTTAAAACAACATGCCTGGCCGCATAGACATTTGCTCTGAATTTACATTGATATATATATTGATACATGTTTCATTAAATAATATAGACAAGTTTTGTCCATTTATTTTCAGTAATTTCCTTTCATATTATCTAATAATATATATATATATATATATATATATATATATATATATATGATTTATTTAAAATATGTTTTTTCGCTACACAGTTATAACCCTGTTTCAAAAATGGAAGCTAAAAGCTAAGAATTTAATTTTGTAATTAAATTAAAGACATTAGTTCCATTTCATCCTCAAGCGTATCTTACTGTTCTTTCTTTATATATATATATATATATATATATATATATATATATATATATATATATATATATATACCTATCATCTGTTTTTAAGTCTTTTATTCTATACCTCAGTTCCCCATCAGTCCTTCTAATTTGTCTCTTTATTATCCCGTTTAGCCACCCTTAAAATTCAACAGCATTTACACGTTTTCCCTAGTAAATGACTGTATAAATATTCATTCGAACAGAAGAATAGGGTATACCTTAAACATGAAAAAATAATTCGGCGATATGAGAAAAATAATTTATGAAGGAGAAAAGAGTAAAGAGAAAAAAGAAATGTTAACGTGTTAAAATGATAGTATGAAGCATGAAGCGAAATCGAAATGAGGTTTAACGAAGCCAGAGTAAAACTGAGAAGTGCGATTAAGTGCGAGGACACGCGACTAAAAATGAAGGAGATAAATTTGCTGCCGATAGCGAATGAGACGGAATGAAAATTTATATTAAGAGGGTTGTTAAGGCAAGAAAAATAGACAGTCGTAAGGAAAGAGACGAAAAAAGGAATAGATCTGATTTTATTTATGGGAGAAATAAAGGTATGACAGTATCGGGATGATTTAATGCAGGTAGAAAGAAAGAAAGAAAGAAAGAAAGAAAGAAAGAAAGAAAATTAAGGCGAGGCTAGATAGCATAAGAAAGAAGAGGTGAAAATGTCTAGATCTTTTTCTTAGAAAGAAAAAAAAATGAAAAAAAAGGAATAAACAAACAAACTTAAGGTGGGAGAAAAATAAAAATAATAAAGAATGAGAAAGAGATCTAAATTCTAAGACCTTTAAGCTTCTAAGAAAGAACGAAAGAAAGAAAGAAAGAAAGAAAGAAAGAAAGAAAGAAAGAAGAAAACAAAAAACAAAGAAACAAACAAACAAAGAACTTAAGGAGAAGAGAGTTAAAACTAATAAACAACGATAATGAAATTTAAATTCTAAGATCTTTAAGCTTCTAAGAAAAAAAAAGAAAGAAAGAAAGAAAGAAAGAAAGAAAGAAACAAGCAAACAAGCAAAGAAAGAAACAAACAAACAAAGAACTTAAGAAGAGAGATACAACTAATAAACAATGATAATGAGATCTAAATTCTATGACGTTTCAGCTTCTACGAAAGAAAGAAAGAAAGAAAGAAAGAAAGAAAGAAATAAACTTAAGGAGAGGATAGATAAAATAAGAGGGACGAAATGAATATTCGTAGAGCTTTATGTTTCTTGGAAAGTGTTGTGTATGATACACCTAATTTACATAAGTGGAGTACCGACCATATAAATATGGGTTGGTACCGGAAGACGAGGGAAGATTAAGAGATCGAATCCAGAGACTCTGCCCGACTGCGATTTAGTCAACCCATTCTGCAGGAACAGTCTTCCCAAGAATATACCAAAACTACCTGTAAATATTGTGTACCTTTTTTCATTGTTTCAATACATTTTGTTACGTACATTTTGTGTTGTATTATTATTATTCCATGCTTATTCAAGCTTCAACAGAAAGAAAGAAAGAAAGAAAGAAAGAAAGAAAGAAAGAAAGAAAGAACTTAAGGAAGGAAGAGATAAAACTAATAAAGAATAATAATAATAATGAATTCTAATACCTTTAGTTTTTAACAAAGAAAGAAAGAAAGAAAGAAAGAAAGAAAGAAAGAATGCTAAGGAGAAGATAGTTGAACATAAGAAAGAATGATAACCAGATGAAAATTCTAGAAACTTTAAGTATCTTAGAACGAAAGAAAAAAAAAATAAACACGCAAAGAAAGAAAGAAACAACAAACGTGAGAACTTTGTGAGTGAAAAGAAGGAAGAAAGAAAGGAAATGAAATATTATTTCAGGTTTTTAAAAAGAAGGAAAGAAAAATAAGAAAAGAAAAAACTGTAAGTTATTATAAACTAAAATGAAGACAGCCTTTCACAAAAAAGTGTCGTTCACAAAGAATAAAGAAAGAATGACGCGCAGGCAGTTACACACACACATAGATAGATAGATAGATAGATAGATAGATAGATAGATAGATAGATAGGAAGGAACATACTGAGATAGATAGATAGATAGATAGATAGATAGATAGATAGATAGATAGATAGGAACATACTGAGATAGATAGATAGATAGATAGATAGATAGGATAGATAGATAGATAGATAGGAAGAAGGAGATATATGAGATAGATAGATAGATAGATAGATAGATAGATAGATAGATAGATGAATGCGAACATACTGAGATAGATAGATAGATAGATAGATAGATAGATAGATAGATAGATAGATAGATAGGAAGGAAGGAACATAATGAGATAGATAGATAGATAGATAGATAGATAGATAGATAGGAAGGAAAATACTGAGATAGATAGATAGATAGATAGATAGATAGATAGATAGATAGATAGATAGATAGATAGATAGAATAAAGTAATAATGAATGCTAGAGACGAAATGCAGGAACAATTGTAAAATAAACCTTCGAAGCAATGAATCAGAAAAACAGCCAAATGACGAGAAAAGGAAAGTGAATTTGATTTCATCAAAGAAACATGTGAGAAATTTGAAGAAAGAAAATTAAAATGAATAAGCTGAAACGGGAGAGGCCAAATATATGATAATATCAAGTTGGGCTGAAATGAAGTAACCAAACCAATTAGGAAAATATAAGTTAAAATGAAAAAATAGAAAAGTTAAAATGAGTTTGAAGATTTGAAATTTTTTACTTTGAAACAGAAAATGAAATATAAATTTAAAAGAATATATATATATATATATATATATATATATATATATATATATATATATATATATATTAAGAAATGGACAAGGTCCGAAAATTTATTCATTAAAGACATTTTTCATGTTTAACGTTGTTATTTTATAGATACAAGTATTTAAGCAATAAAATAACAACGTTAAACATAAAAAATGTCTTTAATAAATATATATATATATATATAAAGTGTATATGTATATAGATATAAATATAAATAAATATATATATATATATATATATATATATATATATATATATATATATATTATAATTATTTATTTAAAAATATGATTCCAACTCGCGACATAAGAGGTCTCATGTTTCAAAACAAGAGCCGAAAACTTCAATATAATTATTTGAATTAAATTGAGTTAAAGTGAGCTCTGTTCCATCTTCTAGCGAAATTTTTTTGGGGAATAACGTATTTCTGAAATTTACGTGTTTTAATAATTGAAATTAAAATTTCCATGGTAACAGCTAGGGCGAATTGTTTAAATTGGGTAGGCGTGTGTTGGGTGTTAATAATAAGTATCAATATAGAGTTACTTTCATGGATGTCAAGTCAGGGAAAGGTGGGGGTGTCTAAATTTGAAACGGAAGATGTATTAACCCTAGTCTGGCATGCGTGTCTATGGAGATTTATTTATTTTTTTATTTTATTTTTTTATGAAAGGGATTTGTGCATATAAAAAACTGCCGTAACGTTTGTTTTTTGACGACTTCATAAAGGGTTATCTTTTTTTGTAGGGTATTCAAACTATTTATTTGGGCTATGGATTATGAAAGTTATTATATTGTATGCTTGTTCTTAGCTAATTATTCAGACCATGAATTTGATGATTGGGCTATGGATTAATCAAGTTATTATATTGTATGCGTGTTTTTAGCTAATTATTCAAACCATAAATCTGATGATGTCGACAAAAAACCGTTAACTCATGTCTATTGTTTAATAGATTATTATTATTTAGAAGCTTAATAATGTGCAATTTCTCATGGAGGCACAAATGGCATGGGTCATCCCAAGTTTTACATGTTCTAGCACTATATATATATATATATATATATATATATATATATATATATATATATATATATATATATGTATATTATGTTTTATATATATTATATATGCGGGGAACTAATTGGAAAGCGCTCAAAATCAGTGATAAAAGTAACATATTTAGTTTGACTGATGGTAGTTTGTGATCCTGTGTTTCACGCTTTCTGCAATCGTCGGACAAACTGATAATTTTTTAATGGTGTTTTATGTTAGTGGGAGGGAAAATTGTCGTTGGTATGCCACGTACGCAGACATACACGCACGTTCACGCATTGCAGTTTACGCTAACATAGACATAAGTGAACAATGTTGGACTGGGCATATATGCGCATCCATGTGTGGCGAACTTCTTTAGTCAGTCGCATTGTCAACGCACGGACCATTCGTCTACTTTGTTCGCGGAATAATATTTCCTTTCCCACACATATATACGTATGCACGCGCATTCACACACTATCTATCTATCCGTCTGTTGTTGTTTTTTTTTTTTTTGTTTTTGTTTTTTTGTTTTTTTGTTTTGTCTTGTTTTTTATCTTAAGATGGGGTCTGTGTATATCTATGCTAGGTAAAATTTGTATTATTTTTAAGTTTTTAATGCTGTTTTGTTATTATTATAATGCCGGTTATTTGCTTGTTTTTTGGCGATTGCGCTTATGTAAATGGTAGAAACTCCAACTTATGATACTTATTGGTATTTATGCGGTGGTATTAATTTTGCTGGGGTGGGGGAGAGAAGTATAAGTGAAGTATAAAGGTTTTGCTTTTTTTAAGAAAAATGTCCCGTTTACAATCGGATATATTTTTAATTTTCTCCTTTAGTTTCCACACATTGTTGGCTAGTTTAGTAGAATTTCTTAGGCTCTCTACCTTAAAAGATGACTTATCATTGTACCACACTTTTTTAAAATTACCCTCAGTATACCCTATGTATATTTTTCTGGCTATTTGTATGTAGTATTTCTGCTTTGTAAGTTATTGGTTCAGTTTTGCAAACTCCATCTAATGGACATCTATTCTTATTTCTACACTTGCATTACCTGAACAAGATTATTTTTACGACTGCATTTATATTAACAATGTTTTGCTGCACGTTAGTTTTGAAATTTCTCGAATTTTGACTTTTTTATTGTGATTCCTAAATCACGAGTACGGGTGTTGCTTAATTTAACTGTGTTTTTATTAAATATTTTATGTAATTCGGAATTTTTGTGTGAAGTGTTTCTTAAGTAATTTGATAAATATTTTCCCTATTTTATACTTGACCTCTAAGCGAGAAATATCACAACCAAACAAGGTATAAGTGACAGAATAATTATATTATATCGTAAGCAAACTTTTATAACTATAAATAACCATAAAGACGAATTCCGTATTAGTTCTTCTTTTAGAATTGTGTAAAATAAGCCAAGGAATACCCCCAAAAAATGTGCGAAACGTTAAGGATCGCTATACAGACCAATAAACGGAAGGGTACAAGTAGGTGTATTTCTTGTTTCCAAAAAGTTACAAAGATAAATACGTATTTATAAAATAAATAAATTTTTTTATCCATATATATCTAAAAAAAAAAAAAAGGCCTGCTTGAGGATTTTACTTCATCAGAGTCTTCGTAAATATAACACCTGAACAAATGGACATAATTTTAAATTGCCGTAAATCAATTTTATTTCCCAGTGGAGAGGCTTGGATTAGAAAAAAGAAGACAACTTCGATGTACCACAAGATTCGTTTCATGGTGCTGAGGTTTCAGAATTTATAGGCCTACATATTGTAAAAGAAATCAACAAAATTGTACATATAAACAACCATGGCCTTTATAAAGATGACGGGCGGATGATAGTCTGAGACAACGGAAAAACAAATGGCAATATAAGAAAAACTCTTTTCAAGCTCTCCAAAAACCTCGACTTTGAAATAGAAGTCGATATGAATAAGAAAATTGCCAAATATTTAAATGTAGAATTAAATCTACAAACTGACAGTGTCTCCTCATACATGAAACTCAACAGAAAATTAAAATACAGGAATCAACTACCCTGGGAGTATAATAAATTAAATCCTCAAAGGAAATGTGTCCAGGTTATTCAGAAATTCCTCTAGTTTTCAAAGATAAAAAGAAAGAATATGAGTAATTTAAAAGAAGAAGGGCATAAAAACAAACTGGAATTTAAATCCCAAATAAAACAATGAAGAAGAATTCGAGGAAAAGAAAAAAATATTATGTTAAAAAACCCTCCCCCCTCACACACACCCTTTAACTTAGAGGTCAGGTATAAAATAGGGAAAATATTTTTTCAATTAGTTAAACACTTCCCCCAAAATTCCGAATTCCATAAAAGGTTTAATAAAAACACAGTTAAATTAAGCTACAGTTGTACTAGTAATTTAGAAACCACAATAAAAAGACAAAATGTCAGAAATTTCAAAACTAACGTGCAGCAAAATATTGTTAACAGTAATATATGCAATTGCAAAAATAAAAGCAAATGTCCATTAGATAGAGTTTGCAAAACCGAAGCAGTAGTTTACAAAGAAGAAATAAAAGATACAAATATCCAGAAAAATATACATAGGGTGCACTGAGGATGACTTCAAAAATAGATGGTACAATCATAAGTCATCTTTTAAGCTAGAAAGCCTAAGAAATTCTAGTAGATTAGCCAATGTGTGGAAATTAAAGGAGAAAAATAAAAAAGATCCGATTTAAACTAAACTTTTTTTAAAAAACCCAAACTTTACAACAATCGTAGCAACATCTGCAACCATTTTCAACAAGAGAAATTAACTATAACAACATTTCGAAATCAAAAAGAACCTTTTGAATCAGAGAACCGAAATTATGACCCGTTATAAACATACTAAAAAGTTCCTTTTGAGTCCATTTGAAGTGGGGTAGAAAGAACATATGTATATTTTATTTAATCCCCAACGATTCATTCCCAATACAATTGATTTCCCTACCACACCTTTCTTTCTCTCTCTCTCTCTCTCTCTCTCTATATATATATATATATATATATATATATATATATATATATATATATATATATATATATATATAAAAGGCTTAAACACTAATATTGGAATATTCGTGTTTAAGCCTTTTTATTATATCCTTGCTCTGTCCTGGACATTGAGTTCTACCTGGATTCTATCCTCTTGAATTTTTTTTATTCAAAAAATATATATTTATGTGTATGCATGTATGTATATATATTTATATATTTTGCATATGTATGTGTATATTTACTACTACTATCTATCTATCTATCTATCTATCTATATATATATATATATATATATATATATATATATACATATATCTATCTATCTATCTACCTATCTATCTATCTCTATATATATATATAGATATAGATATATAGATATATATATATATATATATACATATACATATATATATATACATTATATATATATATATATATATATATATATAGATATATGTATATATAATTTCTTATAAGATGTTATATAGGAACATATGTAAAACCGCTACATAAATGTATTCATGTTTCGATGCATATCATCGCATCTTATTAGGTGGTAGTAAATGAATACTAGATATTGCCCAATCCCATTATCGCTTGTCTCGGTCGATGGCACCTGGTCTGGCTGAGCTGCAGTTTCATTTTTATGAAGATGCCAAAAAGTTGGTCGACTCGGCGTTAGCCTCAAACGACGCGTCGCTTTTCCGACATGAAATTCAAATTCTGGTAAATAAATGAGAAAAAGTAGCACCAACGATGGACAATACTTTCAGTGACATGTTTCTCAGGAAATTTTGTAAATAAGACATTACGTTTCAGGAAAAGTCATCGAGAACTTATACAAGGTCCTAACACACATATATATATATATATATATATATATATATATATATATATATATATATATATAATTGAATTGATTTAAAATATGTTTTTTCCGCTACACAGTTCTAACCATGTTTCAAAAATGGAAGCTAAAAGCCACGAATTTAATTTTGCAATTAAATTAAAGACATTAGTTCCATTTCATCTTCAAGCGAATTCGCTTAAGGATGAAATGGAACTAATGTCTTTAATTTAATTGCAGAATTAAATCCGTGGCTTTTAGCTTCCATTTTTGAAACATGGTTAGAACTGTGTAGCGAAAAAAACATATTTTAAATTAATTAATTTATAATATTAATGCTCTGTAAATTTACATTGAGCACTACTTTGAAAAAATAAAAATATCTATAAGAACACCGGATTATATATCTTACTGTTCTTTCTTTTTATTTAAATATATATATATATATATATATATATATATATATATATATATATATATATATATATATATATATAGTACTGGCTTGGTAAAACCTTGAATAGTTTGACTTATAGTAGAACAAATCGGTACCCAAGGAAAAATGAGAAATAAAGAAAGAAAGAGCCGAGAACATTAAACTAAGGCGAAAACAATCGTCCAGAGTTGAAGCCCAAAGTGCAAAGAAAAGAAAAAAACCCAAAACGAGTAAAAGGCAACTACGTAAAGTGCTCAATGCACGAAGTAGAGCAAAACCTAAGAGAATCCTAAGGAGCCAGGCAAACCTAGCTAGATTTCACCTAAACGGATAGTCATGACGACCTGACACCCGTTTAGGTGAAACCTATGTATGTTTGCCTGGCTCCTTAGGATTATATATATATATATATATATATATATATATATATATATATATATAATCTCTATCATAAATACATTACTGTATAGTGTGTTTGTCAATCTCGTTTCTTTCAAGTTCTGGTTTAATCCCTTCCTATAAGGAATAAAACAAAGATGTCTTTTAAAGAGGATTCTTATCGTCATTCTATAGTGATAGCGAAAGTGTCAAAGAGAAATAGACAGAGTGAGAGAGTGCAATGAAGACGAGAGAAGACAAGAGTGGAAAAGAGAGTAAGGGAATACAAGTACCCGGGCGACGAAAAGAGACAGAGAGTGTCTGAGCTTCGATGCAAACCTGCGATATCTTCTACGGCTGATTTCATTAAAAACAAAAATTCGTTTCCAACTCATGGGTTTGTTCTTAATCACTATATGGTTTCTGTAGGCATTAAACTATTTCTATTCTCTCTTTCACAAGACTAGCAGATGATTTTATCGAACATTTTTTCTTTTATTTTCCGGCCAGTCACTATAAATTCGTTCCTGCTATTGTCTGTAAATTCTGCTTTTATTTTGATTTTCAGTTTTACTTTGCTTCGCCGTCTCTCCAATTGAACACAAATATTTAAGGCCATTTATTTATTTTAATATCATGTCCATTTGGATTTAAACGTAATATATGGAGCCTTGAATGATTCTTCAGGAATTATATTTCAGCGGTAATCTCTCCACAGTTTTATATTCATTGTTTTCTTTACCTCCAATTGGCTGTAGCTCAATGTTAAGGAGTCTAGTCCAGCTTACTGTTTAACCCATAACTAGGAGGAGAAAAATGTGGATCCGTGTTTCTTTAAAGTTGAGCCTTGTGAAGAGAAACCAAAAGGCAAAACCGGGATTTGAACTCGGTTCACAGATAGCCGCCACGCTACGTATACGTGTTTATTACAGGCGACATTAAAAGAATCCAAATTTTTCTTTATTTCCCTTTTTTGTCGGATTCACCAAGCGATTATTTCTTTTTCTTAATTATCATAATTATATAATATTGCAGATTTGGCAAACCTAAAAGAGATGAGTTGTCATCAAACGCGAATCTTTGGCTGTCGAATTCAAGTTTTAAAAATCTGTAAGCAGATAATTTTATAGATTTATTTTTTTACGGCTTATTAACCTTTTTAAGCTTATTTAAAGCCTGAAAATATTTTAAGATTGTAAGACATTTTGGGGAAGATAATAATATTTTACTGATACTTAAGTCTTGCTAATTAACCCATTGCTGGAAGAATAGACGGACTCACAACTTTCCCAAGATGATTTGCGCGTAAGTGAATATTATTGAATTAGAACTTAGCTCTCGGATTTAAAATTCCGAGCCGTTATGTATGAGAATGACTAGTTCATCCAAGCTTACATCACCTGCTATTATCAAGCTGTTACCTATCTATGTATTTAACACACTCGACTTTCATTACACGAGAACCAATATTTCGACGTCATATGGCCGTAAGCAATGTGGTACTGGAATCATTTCTTGATCTGTTATTAAATTGTTTTAGAATAATCTTGAATCGTGTTTATGTTACTTTGTATCGTAACGCTCTGGTTTTATTCTTTCTATGAGATTTAAGTTCGCAAAATGAATAGGATTTTGACGGCATATGAACTCAAAAACCTTATTCTTGGAAGCTTGCATATTAACGGTCCTGGAATGAATAAATTAACGTAGGTTTACAGCAGGGAAAAAGAAAAAGTATAACATTAACAAAGTTTCTTCCAAGATAATTGAACAACTTCAGACAATGATTTATTCAACCACTACAGCGAGGCTGTTCTCACGGAGATGGGAACCATTCCAAGATTTATTTTTTGTGGGCGTGATCATAACTGTATAATATATGCAGATGACAGCGTGTTGATGGCTGACATGAAAAGAAAGAAAAAACAACACAGGACACCCTAGACATGATAGTAAAGGTAAACGAGAGAAAATGAGTAACCATCAAATGCATAAAGACAGAAAGTAGGGTCTTAAGCAAGACAAAAATCTCAAGATGCGAGTTACAAATTAGAGATGTCAGCATCAAGCAAGTAGAGAATCGAGACATGTAACAGTAGTAGTAGTTGTAGTAGTAATCGTAGTAATAGTACATGAGCTTTCAAAATCTTATAAGAGTATGCCAAAGAAAAGAACACTTATAGTCAGAATCAAGAAGAAACACTTTATGAGGAAGGAGGGTTTGGAAAACTGATGCCTCACAGAATATATTGAGTACAAGAAGATTAGGAGAAAGTACAAAGCTATATACCTGACAAGCTTATGTGAATGGCTGACGAAGCGCAGGATGTGAGCATTAGCACAAGGAATAAGTAGTTTCCGACAGGCATGATCACCCATGCCCTGAGTGGACGCGAGACATAGAATAACAAGAACAAGAATAAAACCAATGATAGGTACTATATGATAGCATTTCAACCAACAAATATAGTGATATTATAAAAATTCATAAATTATGGAGAAGAGTTCGCCTTGTAAGCGCAGAAGGTTCAAATAAAAGTCAAAAGATACAAAACAAAAATCAATGATCAAGTTGCGGATATTGGAATAATTCATGGAACTAGAACAAAATTTCATCTTAGAATTTCAGACAATGCAGATAAGGACGAAACTACACAGGCCAAACATTCGCGATCAGGACGAAAAAATATGGATATTAGGATAATTTATATTTATATATATATATATATATATATATATATATATATATATATCGTGGTACTCGCTTGTAAAAACCTTGAATAGTTTGACTTGTAGTAGAACAAATCGGTACCCAAGGATAAAAGAGGAATAAAAAAAGAAAGAACTAAGAACATTAAATTAAGGCGAAAACAATCGTCCAGAGTTCAAGCTCAAAGCCCAAAGAAAAAAAAAAAAACCTCCAAATCGAGTAAAAGGCAACTAAGTAAAGTGCTCAATACACGAAGTAGAGCAAAACCTAAGATAATCCTAAGGAGCCAGGCAAACCTACCTAGGTTTCACCTAAACAGATAGTCAGGGCGATAGGTACTACTATATGATAGCATTTCATGCATCAAACCAACAAAGATAGTGATATTAGAATAATTCATAAATTATGGAGAAGAGTTCGCCTTGTAAGCGCAGAAGGTTCAAATAAAAGTCAAAAGATACAAAACAAAAATCAATGATCAAGGTGCGGATATTGGAATAATTCATGGAACGAGAACAAAATTTCATCTTAGAATTTCAGACAATGCAGATAAGGACGAAACTACACAGGCCAAACATTCGCGATCAGGACAACAAAAATATGGATCGTAGGATAATTTATTAAATGAGAACAATAGATTTTATTGGTATGTGGGAAAAGTAATTTAGTGATCAAAAAACAAGATGAGGATAGCGTTCGTTTAATTCAACGAATAACAGTAACATTTCATTTAAAAATGTTTGTCGGCCGAATAGTCGCATAAAAGAACAAAGAGGAAATTGCTTATTCCGATAATTCGGTAAACGTGATATTGTTATGACATTTAACACTTGTTGTCACGTATTATTTAACATATGTAAACACATGTTGTTATGTCATTTAACACATGTAATCACATGCTGCTATATTAACACGTTATATTATTTAACACATTTAAACACTTTATATTATTTAATACGTGTAAATACATGTTGCTATATTATATAACATGTTGTTATATTATTTAACACATGTTCCTATATTATTTAATACATGTAAACACGTTATATTAACACATGTAAACACGTTACACTATTTAACACGTGTAAACACATGTTGCTATATTATATAACATGTTATATTATTTAACATATGTAAACACGTTATATTATTTAACACATGTAAATATATGTTGTTATATTAACACGTCAACACATATTATATCATTTAACACATGTAAACACGTTATATTATTTAACATATATGAACGCATGTTATTGTATTATTTAACACATGTAAACACAAGTTGTCATATCATTTAACACATGTAAACACATGCTGTTATATTATTTAGCAAATACAAACACATCTTATTTAGCACATGTAAACATATGTTGTTATATCATTTAACACATGTAAACACATAGATGGCTAATAATTTTGTAGAAGCAAAATACTAAGAAATAGGAATAGTCCGTTAGAAGCAAAGGAATTAGTGCTGAAATGGTTGATAATATTAATATTTATTTTATGACCGTAAATACTGGAGAATGTCCTTATAGATGAAGTGACAACTGGAGGTATCAGAAATGTAGTTCTACAGAAGGATGCTGAGAATGAGCGAATCCGTAAACAACGAAGAGGTTTTAAGACAAACAAAAATAAAAAAATAAAAAAAAACACTTATACTCAATAAAAACGGCAGCTGAAATATGTGAGTCATATAACGAGGAAGGCAGGCTTGGTAAATATCGAAAGAAAAAAATGACAGGAGATGTCACCGGGTCACCTACCTGACGAGTCTATGTGAATGGATTACAGAACACGGAATGGAAAGCTTGACAAAGAGACAAACATTGCTAACGGTTGCAGGATGTTCCGTAGAACCATGTTCGTCCATGGCTTTAAGGGACACGGTGTATAGACGAAGATTATCATCTTCTTTAAGGAATTTGATTCTTTTTTGGCTACTTTCTTCCTCACTTCACATTCACAAACGCATTTTGTACTAGATGTCGACCATAAATCTAACACTTAACATTATCCTATTAGAGTGAAAAAAAACCAAAAGAAACAATGATGTATCTGTCCTTACTTCAACAGCTTTACAATTCCTATTTCTTTCTGTTAGTATAGAAGACCAACATGATAAATAACGAAAAGACGGCTTTTAAAAAAAGCCTAACACGAGCAATCATAAATTCCTTATAGTACACTGACTCACAAAGAAATCTTTCACCGCTTTGTGTCTTCTTATTAGGGTTCAGTTGGCCGCTTCAATCGTACTTCGGTGTCTTTTCGAAACGACGTCGCCTGCGATCAAAGTATCTATGCGTTTCCAAAACAACGTGAAATATCTGTCCATCGAATTCATGCTGTAAAGTAACACGGTGATTAATGTTGTTTCCAGATATATATTTCCATAACAATACGACAGGCTTTTATTATGTAATTTTTATTATATTAAATTTTGGGCTTGTTGCCTAACTTTGGTTACACTGCATTGTATCCGAGGTCAGTGAAAATGGCGGCGGTCATGAACAATCAATGTCAGCGCCTTTTAAGAAATTTGGTTCACTGTGTCGTACCAGACAAAATTTCTCATCAAAATCACTCTTGAACCTTCAACCAGTCTTGATATACTTGATATGAACATTACTGCCACATCTAATCTGCTA